ATGTCTTTTAAAACTGTCAATGGGGGGAAAAGGAGACACATGTAATACTTTCAACAATAAAGAATTTTTTAAAAAGAGAGATGTCATATGCAGAAAAAAAAATAAAAATAAAACTGCCTACTGGACCTTTCCATTTGGATGTCCAACACAGCATATCTGAAACTGGCCTCCAAATTGTTAATGTCTCATGAATTGCTTTTCTATTAATTGCTTTTCTTCCATTGAGGTTCAAAGTCTTTAATGCTACTTTCTCCTTCACCACATCTGATTAGCTATCAGCCCTGTAAACTTTCCCTTCCAGTTCTTATCAGATCTGCCCCTTTATTTCCTTTTCCTTGGCAATGTTTCTGACCCAAGTACTCATGACCTCAACTCAAATTAATGAAAAGGCCTTTCATGCTTGTTTCCTACCTCTAGGAGGCAGATGCCACATCACTTCCTGATCAATCCTTCTCAATGGCCAATCTAATCATATCTTATTCTTCTCTCCAAAAAGAATAATATTTGGGATTGTGGAATACTTAAAAATCCACAAAGCACTTTCACATTCATAAATCTGTTTGACCTTCACACCAAGCCTGTGATGTGGGCTGAACACGTATGGACATTTCTGTTTTGTAGATGAGGAAGCTAAAACTTGGAGAGGCACTTGCCTGCAGCTGTACATAGCTACCAATTGGAGCAGAAGTCCAATCCCAGAGCAATTTCCATTACACTATTCTGTCTAGGGTAACTGCATGTTGCCTAAATGTAGGAATTGCTTAAGTACACTCAAGGCCTATTGCAATCAAGTCCAAATTTACACTTATAAGTTTATGTTTCATGGCTACACTACAGAAATCTTCTGATCCAACTGCATTGATTTACCTACTGTTCAAAAATGTGCAAGGCACTCTTTGCTTCTACTGTGAGCTTCTAATAAAAGTCATCCCCTATTCAGTCTACCCACCTACCTTTTAAAATGCAATTTTTACCTTCTCCATGAAGCTTTCTAAAACCATTCCATTAAATGTCAATAATTTTTTCACATGTTTAAACTCGGGGTAATTTTTTTTTAATACTAATTTGGTCCTCATCCCCTTCTGAGGCAATACCCTCTGGGGATTCCATTTGATGACCATGCGTATCAGGTGATCTTTCCACTCACTGGTGGGAACACAAAATGACTTCCAGTCCTTTGTGAGCTCTAAAGATCGTTTTGCTTGTTCTTTTCCAATAGTTCTTTTTGTATTTAAGTCATTCTTTATTCTCTTCTGGAATGAGAACAACTACACCACTAGTTCTTTCCTGAGTCTTGGTAGTGTCTTCATATCCATGTGATGATCAACACTGAGTTGAAGTCTCGTAGCAGAACCCTCTACAGCTCTCTCAAGTTCTCTATGCAGTTGTCTCATCTCCAGTGTTCTGCTTTGTGAATTCTAGCCGCCTTAGTCTTCTCGAACTCTGAACCCTTGTCTCAACTCAGGGAACCTCCTGGGCTGCTTGGTTCCCCTGTCCTGTGCTACAGCCTGGACATGCTCTCTAAGCAGAAGCTGGAATAATGAAGGACTCACCTTGTTTCTCTTCATGCAAGGATCACTATTCTGAACTATTGTTTCAGTCTGAACCATTGTTTCCTAAATTTTGTCTGGTTGCTTTAGTTATTTAAAGCAGAAGAATAAATCCAGTCCCTGTTACTCTCATCATGACAGGAGGTGGACATTCTTCAATAGCATTCTGAAATGCAAAGATTGCTCTAGAAGTCAGAGTAAAAATAAACCTTTCTTATTTGGAATTGCAAAAATAAAAATTAAAAAACAACAAAAATAAAAATTTACCCTTTCCAAAAATAAGCCCTTCAGCAATGGTATTTAGTTCAAAGTAGAAAAAGCAAAATGTATCGACTCTTTAGAGTGAAATCTGTAATTTATACACATTTAAGGAGGTAATTCAATATTTTGGAGGTAATTTACCTACCTAACCTCTTTCAAACTCATTTTAATTAAAGGTCACAAAAAACATTGTTTCAGTAGCCAGAAATATTTTCTGATGTACTATTAAAATATAAGGCATTACTCCATTTGTGTTTAGTCTCAAAAAAAAAAAAAGTGGGATTGGCAACACAAATATGTTTGTAGTCAGAGAGGGAGACAGGGAGAGAGAGAGGGAGGGAGGGAGGGAGGGAGGGAGGGAGGGAGGGAGGGAGGGAGAGAGAGAGAGAGAGAGAGAGAGAGAGAGAGAGAGAGAGAGAGAGAAACAGAAAAACTGGTCTGAACAAGCTAGTACTTTTTTTTCCCTACATGCTCCACTTTGTATTGGTAAGACCAGATAATGAGTAGCACTTTTTCTTTGTAACAATTCATTAATCAGAGAAATGATCCTTGCTAGTGTTTAGATGTTTTACTTAATTTGGTACCTCTGGCCTGCTGCCCCACTAGTGCCAAAATTATTATTTCTCACCCAGCAGGTGATAAATAACAACTTCAGTCGTGATTAATACCATGAATCCTTCAACCTGACTAATGCAAAAAAACCTTGGGACCTACAGAACAAGTGGGTGATAATTGTTGTGAGAACTGCTGAAGCTCTGCTCAGCTTGTGAGGAAGAAATCCACAGGAAATGGAGCGTTTGCTAGCAGTCCAGCTGATCCAGGGAGGCTTCATTAAGCCCGTCTCAGCCACATTCGCCATGTGAATGCCACTGTTAGATTTTTCTCCCCCCCAATACTAAATTTTAAGTATCTTCTGAGAAAAGAAACCACTCATTTTTTGCATACAGTTAAGTATTTATTGAATGGATAAATGAATGGATGAATGAATAATAAATGAGAAAATAGAATTCTTGCCGAAGTACTTGTTATTGTTAATATGGGTCATTTGAGAGCTACATATGGTTATTTCTCTAATAACGCAATTGTGCACAAATGTAGTTTTGCTAAAGCCCATAGCAGTATTAACATTCTCTTCTGGCAAAAAGAAAACTGTTAGTAATGGCCAGTGACTAAGGCCATCATCGTAATTAGTATCGCTTAGCAATAGATATCAAGGTAGTATATGAGTAGTCAATTAGGCACATGGTAAAGGGGAATATGTATTGTTTGAAGAGCTTCTCTGGATACTCCTTGCCTCCTGAGATACTTCTTTAAATGGTACAATATATTTTAAGTCAATGAATGGTGGTCAACCAGTTGAATATGGCTTGCAGGCGTATTTGCTTGGCAGACAAGTTGTTTTAATTTTTTAGGTTATTTTAATGGTTTAGGTGGAGATATGCATTCTCCAGTTTGGCACAGCCCCCCCTATTCCTATTGTCTTCATATCCAGTCTGTCTCACTCTCATCACCATATGCCTGGCTTCTCAAGTAAGTTTGTGATCCCTGACTAAATGGGGAGATGTAAAATAATGACAACCAAGGTGGGGGGCCCGAGGGGATGAAAAATTAGCTTGGATTGAGATATGTGGCTAAATACAAGGTGGGTCAAAAATAGGTTTACAGTTGTTGATGTTGTAAACCTCCTTTTGCCCCACCCTGTACATCCAGAGATTTTTCAAGAATCACAAATTATCTAAGCATCAATTTCTTCAGTTAAAAAATATTTTACCTCATGTGGTTTAATTACATTTACTTGATGACTAAAAAACCTTTTTGCCTAATCCAAAGTTCTAAAGATTTCCTTCTATTTTTTTAGAAGTGTTGTTTTAGCTCTTACATCATTTAAGTGTATAGTCCATATTGAATTAATTTTAATGTATGGATTGCAGGTTGCAGGTCTGATTCCCAATCAGGGCACATACCTACGTTGCCAGTTCAATCCAGGTCGGGTTGCATATGGAAGGAAACCAATGGATGTTTCTGTCTCTCCCTTCCTCTTTCTCTAAAAATCAATAAAAAGTGAGGATTAAACATACATATATATAGACCTGTTATAAATAAAAATTGTGCAAAGATTAAGTATAGATACATAAGCCTGTCATAAAAATTGTGCAAAACCAGGTAATGTGGGATTTTTTTATTTTAAAAACAACACACATTACAAAAATTAGTTCGTGGAAGCTATAATAAATAGCACTGTAGTCCAAAGAGAGAGCCCAAAGTTTATGGGGGATTTAGACTAAGGAAACGATAATGTACGCCTTATATGGTATAAATTTATAATCTTCAAAAAAAATAAGTATAGTGTTCCTTAAAGGCCAAACAGATGCCACACTGCCTGCGTTTGAATTCCAACTCTACCACTTATAACTCTATGACCGTGTGCAAGGTATTACCCTTTCTCTCTCCATTTCCTCTTTTTTGATTTGGGGATAACAACCTTTGCAGTGTTTTTGTAAGGATTAAATGAGTTAAAAATTCGTGGTACCTAAAAATACAAAAGTAATATTATTATAGAAATTATTTTTACATCTGACTCTTTATAGCATCCCTGGCTTTATGTAAAATATTAGAAAAATTGAAAAGGTCACAACATATAATCCTTATTGCTTATATATAAACTCTTGTTGATACTTCTGTGAACACTATCCTCCCTTCCCCACAAAAGGAATAAAAAAGCATTATTAAAATATTATCTCAAAGTTTCAAAAAAAGTTTTAAATTTATCAATATAAATTATAGCTGCTCTGATTAAATTTTTTTAAATTTAAGTTTATTTTTATTCCTTTTTGAGTTTATTGGGGTGACACTGGGTAACAAAATTATACAGGTTTCAGGTGCACAATTCTACAACACATCATCTGTACACTGTATTGTGTGTTCACCACCCCAAGTCAACTAAGCTTAGACATGAAGAATGTTCTTAAATGGTAATCTGTTCAAGGCTTTCATCACCTTGTAATCATTCACATTTTCCAAGAGTATACTCATTAGGAACATTTTTCCTATGACCAGGTTTACCATGTAGTTAGCAAAATAATCTTGGGTGTAGAAACACAAACTACTTGCCTGAGAAAAGACACTGTTTACTTCATGCATGAAGCTCAGAAAGTGACTCTCAGAAAGATCAAGTAAATATAGCAGCCATATAGTTGTTCAAAGTTTATTTTTATGTGCGTACAAGTTTCAAGAAAACAAAACTTTCAAGATACAGAGTATAACATATCAAATGGAGTCATTCAGAATTATTTCAATTTGTACATAAACAACAGTATAAAGTACATGTACAAGATACATTATATAATTTGTTTTGAGGTTTCAAAAGCAGTGTTTTGGTTTTAAAATTTTGATACCATTCACATATCATTCAAGTAACAGATTTCAAAAGTTAAATTTTTTAATAACAACTAAATTAACACATAACTCTAAGACAATCTAATAGACTCTAAGACAATCTAATAGATGAGCTGCCTTTAGCACGATCTTCAAAATAGTGCTGTTCAATTCTTCTACAAAAAGCAAGAAGGTTGCTATAGTTTTTCACCTTCTCAGAAAGTTCATCATTGGTCAATTGTGTGGTAAGAATGGTGTAGAGATGGCCAAATACCAGTGCATCTAGTTCAGTAGGCCTAAAACAAAAGTAGAAATGAGAGTAACATAGTGTTTAACTTGTATGGTAGGGTATATACTATTTTTAAAAACATTTTATTCATCTGTTTAAAAGAAAAAATCATAGAAATTCTACCCAACTTGATAGAATTTATTGTTTTAACTTAGAGTTTGTTATAAGATATGAAAAAATAATTTTAAACTATGATTTGCTAGTGTGTGGCTTGCTTTTTTGAATTAGTAGTATTATTTAAATGTGTTAAAATAATATTGGTATGTTTGATCATATTCGTTTTATTTATTAGTTTGTTCACTAGATAAATACAGCATGTTGCCAATGTGCCAGAACCGTACCAGATGTTAGAGATAAAAACAAGAAAGATATTCTAAAACATAGACACAAATTACCACAACAGAATTTAGTAAATGTGTTAATAGATGCATAGACAAAATGTTGGCAAAGCACAGAGAATTTCACTGTGGTGCCGGGACAACAAAATGATACCTGATTACCCAGTCATATACTAACAATATATCATTTTAATTTGACCATTTTTAAAGTGACTTAACTTTAAAAATGAAGTTGGCTTCAACAAAAATTTTTCCAGGGGGCTTTCCCTATAAAAAAATGAAATTTATCTACCTCACAACTAATGGCCTATAAGTGGGGCATCACCAATCTATATTACATTAAGATAACCATGATAATTATGAACTATTGGTAATTACTGCGATTAGTCCTACAGTGATACAAGTTTTTGAGAAAACATGTGTTAGTCCACCTAAACGTGAAAAAATGTTACAGTAATCTGGTTTGGCAGAATAGATTGGGGGGGGGGGGGTCTATCAAATCTAAGTTTGAATCCTAAAGCTGCCACTTAGATTGGGGGGGTCTATCAAATCTAAGTTTGAATCCTAAAGCTGCCACTTACTTACTAGCTATGTGGCCTTAATCACTATTGATGAATGAGCTCATGCAGTTCCATGGCTTTAAATGTCTCTTTATACCGCTAATTCCCAAATATTTATCTCCAGTTCTAGTCTTTCCCCTAAATTCCAGAATCATATATTCAATAATCAATAAAAAGGTGATACCACACTAAAACTATAACTAACACCCCTCCCCCTCGATTATACTTCAAGCTATTTAAAGGTAACACTGCACATATCTTGATATCCCCAGTTCTTAGTAAAATATCTGAGGAACTGAATCTGTATTTGGTGAAAGAATGAAATAAAAAGAAAGCATCTTTCCTAAGTTATGTAAAATACTTAATTTTTCAAAGTCTCTTTCTCTCTTTTGACACATTCATGAAGTTTTCATCAAAGTCAGATACACAGTTGATGGCCATGTTTAAGCCGGAAGACAATAGGATGGTTTCAAAAAATCACAAGTGTCCTTGGACTTAATAGAAATATAATTCTATCAGTATAAATGGACTATCAAGGGGGGAGGGCAGGAAGAGATTAACCAAAGAACTTATATAAGCACTAGAGGCCCGGTGCACGGATTCATGTACCGGTGGGGTACCTTGGCCTGGCCTGCGCTCTCTCGCAATCCAGGAACCCTTCGGGGACACCAGAGAGTCGTTTTTGGCCTGATCCCCGCAGGCCAGGCTGAGGGACCCCACAGGTGCAGGAATCCGTGTACCGGGCCTCTAGTATGCATATAAGATCTTTGGTTAGTCTCTTCCCGCCCCCTCCCTTCCCTCTGAGATTCATCAGTCTAATCCATGTTTCCATGCCTGTGGTTTCTGCTCGTGTTGAGCGTCTGTCCCCTGGTGGTCAGTGCATGTCATAGCTACCGGCTGGTCGCTTAGGCTTTTATATATATATACTAGAGGCCTGGTGCACAAAAATGTGTGCACTTGGGGGGGGAGGGGGGTCCCTCAGCCCAGCCTGTGCCCTCTCGCAATCTGGGACCCCTTGAGGGATATCCACCTGCTGGCTTAGGCCCGCTCCCCAGGGGATTGGGCCTAAACGGGCAGTCAAACATCCCTCTGGCAGCCTGGGAGTCCTCGGGGGATGTCCACTTGCCAGCAGGGAGCAGGCCTAAGCTGCAGTCGGAGATCCTTAGCTGCTGAGGAGGCAGGAGAGGCTCCTGCCACCACCGCTGTGCTGGCAGCCGTCAGCCTGGCTTGTGGCTGAGCAGAGCTCCCCCTGTGGGAGCACACTGACCACCAGGGGGCAACTCCTGCATTGAGCATCTGCCCCCTGGTGGTCAGTGTGTGTCATAGTGACCAGTCATTCCCAGTTGTTCTGCTGTTAGGGTCACTTTGCATATTACCCTTTTATTATATAGGATAGAAGCTTAGTGCATGGGTGGGGGCCAGCTGGTTTGCCGTGAAGGGTGTCCCGGATCAGGGTGCGGGTCCCTCTGGGGTGCCTGGTCAGCCTGAGTAAGGGGCTGAGGGCTGTTTTCAGGCTGGCCACACCCCCTTCAGAGTGGGGGTCCCTATTGGGGTGCCTGGCCAGCCTAGGTGAGGGGCTGATGGCTGTTTGCAGGCTGGCCAAGCCCCCCAGCAAGGACCCTCACCCCATGGGGGTGTGGCCAGCCTGGGTGAGGGGCTGAGGGCCATTTTCAGGCTGCCCACAGCCCCTTCAGGGTGGGGGTGGGGGTCCCGCTGGGGTGCCTGGCCAACCTGGGTGAGGGGCTGATGGCTGTTTTCAGGCTGGCCACGCCCCCCGGAGACCCAAGCTTCCAACCTCTCCTTTTTTATTTTATTTTTTTTGGCGAGCTGGAAGCAGGTATTTGGGATTTATTTATCTTCTATAATTGAAACTTTGTAGCCTTGAGCGGAGCCCAGGGCAGGCCAGGGCAAGCAGGGAGCTTGGCTTCCTCCGTCACCGGGGGCAACCCAAGCCTCCTGCTCGCTCCAGCTCCGTGGCCGCTGCCATCTTAGTTGAGTTAATTTGCATACTCACTCCTGATTGGCTGGTGGGCGTGGCTTGTGGGTGTAGTGGAGTGATGGTTAATTTGCATCTTTCTCTTTTATTAGTGTAGATAGATAACCCATGGACACAGACAGTACAGAAGGCCTTGGGGTGGGGGTGGGGGTCAATGAGTGGAATAAAGGGGACAGCTGTAATACTTTCAACAAAAAAGATAAATTTTAAAAATATATACCCCCAAAAAAAGAACAAATAAAAAACAGATCCCTGGAAAGAACCAAGGATGTAGAACAAGCATGTCAAACTTGCAAGCCTCGTTTAAATAAACTGTAGAAGGTGGATAAATGTAGAGCCTTGGCACTTTGTGAGAACTAAAATAAACATCAACACTTCCATATCCCTAAACATATTTCTTAAAAGATTTATCTTATCTTACCAATGCAAAATTTATCTTTCTAATCCTTTTTTTTATGGTGAACTACCCTTTGCTTCTTATACTAGAGCCTTAAAAAGTTGAATACATTCCCTGATGAAACTTCCAGTAGTGTAGATAGCATCCACTAAATGGTCTGAATGAGTTGGAAGTATACACGTATGTTTAACCTACTGTGGTCTAGAAATGCCTCTGAATTGTACAAAATGTTCTTAGCTGCAAATATACATCCACATAACTCAAAAGGTGCTGAATTACATATGGATAACAAGCACACAAAAACTGATCTGAAGTTACATAAAAATAGTAGTTTTGTGGCCAGTTACTCTAGAACAAGCATGTCAAACTCAAAGGCTAACATGGGCCAAATAAACAAGGTTTAAGTTTATGTGAGCCGCAAAAAAACAAAAGCTTCAATTTTCATAGAAACATAGGTTTATTTCAAAAAGTACAGTACAAAAAAAAAGAACAAGAGCAATGATAAAATTAATGTTTTCTTCCTGACACTTGGCCTCTCTTCTCTGCTACTATCTTTCCTACTTCAGGGGAAATCTTGTTCAGTGATTACTTTTAAAACTGAACCAAGGTGAATGTCAGTAATTCTGGATCTGATCTGACAGGAGATTTATTTCCTTTCATAATTGTAAATTACTGCTCACACTGTTATATTGGCTGGGCCGCAAAAATATTCACTGTGGGTTGCATGTGGCCCACGGGCCACAAGTTTGACATGCTTGCTCTAGAACAGCGGTTTTCAACCTGTGAGTCACAACCCCTTTGGCAGTCGAACAACCATTTCACAGAGGTCGCCTAAGACCATCCTGCATATCAGATATTTACATTACGATTCATAACAATAGCAACATTACAGTTATGAAGTAGCAACGAAAATAATTTTATGGTTGGGTCACAACATGAGGAACTGTATTTAAAGGGCCAGAAGGTTGAGAACCACTGCTCTAGAACATCTAGGGAAGTAGAATAAATACACCAAGTCAAACAAAACACACATACACACAAACTTTAATGAGTATTTGTTGCCATCCTTACAAATTTCAGCAATTACTTACATTTATTGACTCTGATATAAGTAAATTACCAATTCCCTCAATTCTTTCTTCTTAAAAGTATGCTTATAGTAGTGATTAACATAACTGTACACTATTACTAAAACTCATAGAACTATGTACATAAAAGTGTCAATTTTACTATATTGAAATTATACCACAATAAACTTAACTTTAAAAAAGCAACAAACTCAGAAAAATGTTTGCAACTCATATGCAAGACAAGCACAAAAAATACACTTTACCCAATATTTCTACTGAATTATTTAATCAAGCCAAAATCCTTAAGTACTTCCCATTTTAATTACCTTTCCTATATCATATGGACAAGAAACATAACATTTGCACCCTTCTGTTTACTAAGTAGTTGGTGGATTGTAATTTGGATATAGATAACAATTCTCCTACTATGACTTTTAACATCTTTCATATATATTATTGCATTTATTTTTATACACTTTTTATTAGAAAAATATTCCAGGGTGACAAATATATTTTTAAAGTCCTAAGCAATGTGTTGCCTTCTTATTATTCTTTCCGCATTTCTGTTGGTTAGCTACTATTTTTTCATGTGAGTATTAAAATAAAAACAGCACTGTAAATGTGAATATTTTCCTAACCTTCCCCATTTAAATTGTTTGCACTAATCTTTTTTTGCTTTACTTATTATCTATACTAATAAAAGGGTAATATGCTAATTAGACTGATGTCTTCCAGATGGCCTTTCTGCTAAAACTGGGCCCAGGTGAAGCTGCCCAGGGTCCCGGGCGCCTGCAGCCAGCCCAGGCGAAGCCGCCCACAGTCTTGGGTGCCTGCAGCTGCGGCTGGCCTGGGAGAAGCCACCTGCGGTCCCGGGTGCCTGCAGCTGGCCAGAGGGAGGGAAGCCCAGGTCCCGGGTACCTGTGGCCAGCCGGAGAAGGGAAGCCTGGGTCTGGGTGCAGGGACCAAGGCAGAGGCAGTTAGGGGGAATCAGGCTGGCAAGGGAGCAGTTAGGGGCGATCAGGCAGGCAGGCAGAGGTGGTTAGGGGCGATCATGCAGGCAGGCAGAGGGGTTAGGGGCGATCAAGCAGGCAGGCAGGCAAGCGATTAGGAGCCAGCAGTTCCAGGTTGCGAGATGGATGTCCGACTGTCGGTTTAGGCCCGATCCTGCAGTGATCGGGCCTAAACCGGCAGTCAGACATCCCCTGAGGGGTCCCAGATTGGAGAGGGTGCAGGCCGGGGTGAGGGACCACCCCCCTCCTGCCCCCGCACAAATTTCATGCACTGGGCCTCTAGTGATTCCATACTTTTCTTTCTGTGGCAATCAGTCTGGTTTCAAAAAGATGAATTTTGTCTGAGTGTTCCTTAATCTTTCTTTCAAATTACACTACTAACTTGTCATGACTTCAGACCACTAGAAATAATCTACATATCCTTTCTTTAAATACTGGCCACTAATCTTTAGGAGAGTCATTCAAGTTTGTAAATCAAGCCCCTTGCCATCAACCTTTTCTATATTTTGTGTGTGAATATTTTTGAGCTATTTTCCCTTCATTTTCTTAACTGGTGATTTCTTAATTGAACAAACCTCAATAAAATCTTATTCCTTCCTGAAACTTTTCATCTTAAGATTCCCAAGTATAATTCTTGCACCATTTCTTCAATATACTTTCCCATCTGTATATGAAAGTATATTTTCAAATTTTACCATTTACTTAATGGTTACTAGCAATATTTTTTCTTCTTAAAATCTAACTCCTTTTCCAATTCCTCATTCACCTTAACCTAGTTTAACCAACATTTATTGAGCTGCTTCTAGCTAACAGGCTTTGTTTGGAAAACACAGACCTGCAAGGAGGTCATAAGTACTTTGGAATACTATAATTCTTTCTTGATTAAAATATTTCTTGATTTAAAATATTTTTTTCTACTATTTCTTCTCCTTTATTAAAAAGGTCACATATAAATATCACTTTAAGTTTTCAGTTTTCATTCCAAGTCTACACTTGAAGGGAACTAATGACCATGTAGTCTTTGTTTAGGTATCTTAATAGACCACACATCAGCAAGATAGCGTAGTACCAATTTTGGTTTTGTTGCATTTCAGAAATAAGACTTAAGATATTTAAAAGATACCAACACTATATATTTGAAGGAATAAAAGCCACATATTTTAGTATCATTCATTTTCTTCTGCCTTTCCATCATTTAAGCTTCCTTGTCTTCTTTTCCCAATTACTATTCTTGCTGCAAATCTCCCTCAACTACCCTTTTTCCCTTTCTCTCATTAAGTAAAGCTATTGGGCTTCTTTCATGAGCTCTCTCAACAACCCCAGTAGGAAAGCAAGGAGAAAATTTTATTCTAATTTAAGAGGGTAAGTAAGGAGAGGACACATAGGAGAGTCAAGAATAGAATTCAGGGCCTCTAACTTGGAATCCAGTATTATATATCTTGACTTAAGCCAGTGCTCTTTTCACTACTCTTACAAAGTAAATATGCCTGCAATAGATAAAGGAATGAGAAAAGTTTTGGTACAACAAAATGCAAATACAAGTTACCTTTTCCTAAATGTAATTTTCTTTCATGTTAATATTAATAAAACAGTTGGGTGAAATTAAAATTAAAAACCAAACCTATTCTTTAATCATAACTGTTAAGGAAAAATGTTTATCTAGGTCTCATATAAGGTAAAATTATTTCAAATACCTATACTTAATATCAATTAAACTGTTCCTTGATAGGAAACCTCTTTGGTTTTGCAACTGTTCTAGGTTTTTTATTTTTCATTACAAGTTTAAATACAATTGTACCCTTATGAAAAAAAATATTTTTTTTAAATATGTTTTATTGATTTTAGAGAGAGAGGAAGGGAGAGGGAGAGTGAAAAAGAGAAACATCAATGTGTGAGAGAAACATCGATTGGTTGCCTCCCGTACACACCATGACCCGGGACCGAATCCCACACTGGCCAGGGCAGAAGAGAAAGTTTTAATATTTTCACTAAGTCATATGCCAAATGTTACCTGGTTACTAAATCTTTGACAATGAGTTTAAATGAAAAGAAAAATAAGTTCGATCTACCCTCCCAAGAAGGCAGCATGTATAACAAAACTAAATCCTAACACACAAGATGCACTTTAAACAGTAAAATGCACCCCTTCTGAGCTTCTCAACTCCTAGATCTTTTGAACTCTTATGACCTTCCTTCAGAGATATTAATATGTTTAACCAAAAGATGTTTGATAAGGCTATAGAAAATGAGTGCCTATAAGACATAATAAATAATAGCAAATAAAGGTTTATAAAAAATTATCAATCTAGCCCTGGCTGGTGTTCTCAGTGGTTAGAGCACTAGCTTTGATCCATGGTCCATTGGGGAATGTGCAGGAGGCAACCAATCAATGTGTCCCTCTTGCATCAATGTTTCTCTTCTCTTCCCTAATCTCCTTCCATTCTTTCTAAAAATCAATGAAAAAATATCCTCAGGTGAGGATTAAAAAAAATTATCAATCTAAAAAGCAAGAAAATTTTATTAAAAAGCCAAGAAAAGGTTAGAATTTCTAAGCAAACCATTAAGATTAAACTGCTAATTTAATTCCATCTTAAACTGGATCACAGGATAGCTGATCCTGGTACACTAAAAGTATAACTTAAAAAAAAATCATTTTTTGCCTACATTAGATATTTTTCTCCAAATTACCAAAAAAGAAAAAATCTGTCTTAATGAAACATGAATTAAACTATAAACATAAATATTTAATCTATATCCTTCACATTCTCTCTACGCTTTACAGATATTTTCACTACTTTAAAAGATAAGTTCATAATCGTGCTTGTTTACCCAACAGTATTTTTTATTGCTTAGCTTTTATTCACTTTTCTAGTCTTAGAGCATCACCCTACATAGACAAGTGTGGTTACACTTCATACGTTAATAGTACTTTGCAAGCTTAGAATTCTGTTAATTAAGATGTCGTATTTCGCCTTGGCCAGGTGGTTCAATTGGTTGAGGCATTGTCCCATACACCAAAACGGTTGCTGGTTCGATTCCCAGTCAGGATACATACCTAGGTTTTGGGCGGGTATGGGAGACAACTAATGGATGTTTCTCTCTCACATTGATGTTTCTCTCTCTTTTTCTCCCCCTTCCTTTCTCTAAAATCAATAAAAACATAACCTCGGGGGAGGATTTTTTTTAAAAAAGTCATTATTTCCATACACAGCACCTTGAACTACCTCTAGTAGAACCTCTATCATATCATACACTAATGACTGGTTTACATATTTGCCCTTTAGAGAAATTCTCAGTCTCCCAGAGCCTAACACTTTGCCTGACACCTATGAGGTGCTAAGTAAATGTTTAATAAAAGCAAAAATAAACTTAAATACAACTAAATTTTTTCACAAATATTTCTTGATAAAACAATTCCTCTATGATTAAATAAGTTTGTAACCTAACAATATAGAAAAGAAACTAACTTTAAAAAAATAAAGTTTCTTACTGCTTATTGAAGAAATATGGCTGTGTTCCCAGTCTTTGAGAAAGAGCTTGACAGCACTGGTCAACATCTTCCAAGACCTAATATAGGCAATAGACCCCAAAGAAAAATATTTAAATTAGCAAAACAATAAAATGTGTCTAAAACTATTTATAATACAGTTTATAACAAAAATATAAATTTACAGGTAATCTTTTATAATATATTTAAATCTGCCAATAGGTCACATATAAAATATAAATAATATTCCCTATAGAAGACCTACAAAGAAAATTTGAGAGCTAATTTCCTTTAAATGCAAGTACACTTAAGTTACTTATAAGGATTACTATCAAGTACGCTTTTACCTTAAAACTTTACTCCATACAAAAACTGTTTTGCTGAATCCAATGATTTTACAAATATTAAAAAAACCTGCTTCATAAAAATGACACTGCTGATCTACCAAGAGCAAAAGCATTTCAATTGTTTTTCCACTAGTAGAGATGGATTTTACTTATTCCATCCCTATTCACTTACTCAAGATCCCTTACGGCCAATAGCACACACACATAAGTGAGTTGTCAGGCTAAGACTAGGGGTAGCCTTATAAAAGAGACATTAATTAGTCTAATGATATTTAAACTCATGACCTTGATAAGATTTGTATTTTTTAATCTTGCTACTTCAGTACATTTAAGACCAAAATCTTTAAAAATATATATTAAGCACTGTATTTAACATGGTGTTTTTTAAGCCCTGATATTGTAGATCAATATTTATTGGCATAAAAGATGCCCACAATATGTTCTTAAATGGGAAAAACATCAGGTTATAGAGTGGGCAGGTATAATATGATCCCATTTAAGGAAAATATTATTAAGAAACATATAGAATAATGTTCTCCAAATAGTTAACAGTGGCTATTTCTAAGTGGTAGTATTTCAGGCCATTTTTATTTCCTTTTTTAGCTTTTCTGTATTATATAATTTGTTTTACAATCAGCATGTGATTTTTATAAAATTACTTCATGTTGCCGAAACCGGTCTGGCTCAGTGGATGGAGCGTCGGCCTGCGGACTGAGGGGTCCCGGGTTCGGTTCCGGTCAAGGGCATGTGCCTGGGTTGCGGGCATATCCCCAGTGGGGGATGTGCAGGAGGCAGCTGATCGATGTTTCTCTCTCATCGATGTTTCTAACTCTCTGTCTCTCTCCCTTCCTCTCTGTAAAAAATCAATAAAATATATTTTAAAAAACTAATAAAATAAAATAAAATTACTTCATGTCAAAGAAAATAAGAGCAAAATGTTTTGTTAGTTTTTTATTATGTTGGGATTTTTTAAGAACTATCAATACAAAAAAATGAATTTAATACTTTAAAGGTTTATCTTAAATGCATTAAGGGTTCGTGAACTTCAATCTGAACTGACCTGGTCCAGAGTCTTCTTACCCCAACCAATAGCTTTCATCTTACGTTTGACTTCCCACTGTTTCTGATAGGCCAAAATACGATTCAGAGGCCAAGGGTAAGGAGATCCATATCTAGCATGTGTGATCTAAAGCAAGAAGATTTTGTTAAAAACATGATTCTTCCTAAAAACAAAGCCTCTTTTTCACAAATAGAATTCTAAAGGAAACAGACTGTCAGAGAACACAAATAGAGTAACCTGAAAAAAAATACAGAGCTTACAATCTAAAAAATTAAATTTTAAAACATTCCTTTTAAAAATATATAAACTTTTATGTACTTCGCAACCAGTTATATCAAACAATGACACATAGCTTCCCTAAAATGTATGTGCAAGCAAAATTAAAGTAAGTGAAAAACTAAAGCACTAATGGTATAAACCACAATGTTTCATTTATGAGCAGGGACTTACAATTCTGAACAAAAGTATTTTCTCATTAAATTTTAATTAAGATAAATGCTGCAGAACCACTCACCTCCCCTACTGTAGCTTCATCACACCACTGGAGATACAACTAGGAACAAAAGAAACAGTCACAAAAACTTTAGAATACCAAAGAGAAAATGGTTAAAAAGAAAGTTATTTCTTGCCATGGTAATTTTTTATAAGCCAACTTTATAAAAGTCACATATGTGAGGGGCTTTTATCTTCACTAATGTTGCTATATATAAGTATTAAATTTAATGGTGGTACTTAATAAAAAGATTTTTTATTCATATAGTAACATCTCCAAATACCATTAAAGTATTTTACAGATATTATTTAAGTACACTTAACAAGGCCAAATAAAATGATAAGTGAGCAAGAATCATTGCTTTTTATAAACAGAAAATTAGAAGTGAAAATGTCAGGCAATTTGTTCAAAGATAATGATCAAATAATTTGGGTAAGCATCCTAGCCCTTGAATTGCTTGACTATTTTCCTATTTCTCAATAACTTTAGATAACCCATAAGAAAAGATTATCTTTTATGAAAGAAATAGCTTATTTTTAAGGCCTATTATTTTCTATTATACCTCTGCAGTCAACAGCATATTGTTGACTAATTCCATGTAGGCTTTCATTTCTGCTTTTTGGACTTCATCCAACCCATCACTAAGAGAATGGCCCTAAAGGGAATTTAAAAAAATTTAAGAGCATCATATTAAATATACAAAAACTTTCAGTTATGTTACTATCAAGTAATATAACATCAATCCTTTTACTGCAAATGTCCAATGGATTAATTTCCAAAATGTTTCTGAAAAAAAATTAATATCAAAAAATTATTTTATACTCTTGCTACAACATATTAATAAGTCGTATTTGTAATTATAAAATGATTCTTTCAATGGATAAAATTACGTTATCAACTATTTCACAAAAGAAGAAAACAACAATGGTCTATAAACCTTATTACTTTAAGAGACTAATCTTAATAATAAAATAAATGCCAAAAGATTGACATGTGTTACTTATAAAATGGTCAAAGATAAATAAAGGTATAGGGAAATAGATACTAATTTTTAAAATCTACACTATAGTAATGAGTGAATGCATAAAATGATATAACCTTTAGTTCAATCTGGCAATCTGTTTTAAGATTTTAAATTGCATACCCTAATATCACAATATTACTCTTAGGAATTTAACCTAAGGAAATAATCTGACAAGTGTACAAATGTGTATGTACAAGAATATTTCTCGTAGCACTCAATAACAGCGAAGAATTGGCAACTTGCAACGTAAGTGTCTATCAGTAAAGACAATAAATTATTATATATCCATATAATAAAACACTAGACAATTTAAAAGGGTAATTTATATATATATATATGTGTGTGTGTGTGTGTATGTATACACATATGTAAATTTATATATATAGTCATTACTATGGAAAAATTTCCAAGCATACTGATGATTTTAAAAAACAGGTTGCAAAATAACTAATAATAGTATGATCTATATTTTTCTATATATACAAAAAAAAAGTCAGGAAGGGTTTCCCCAAAATGTTAATGGAGGCTGTCCTTTAATAACTATTAAAATCTAAACTGAATAATTCAAATGAATAAATTAATACATTCAACTTCTAAACAGATCCTATATCTCCCTTCTTAAAGGTTAACTTAATATTTTTTAAAAACTTAACAGTTTTCATTCATGGCCAAAATTCTCATAAGCATATTACAAAATTATCTACCATTTTGTAAAAATCAAATTACCTCTTTTGCCAATGATTTTCATTATTTAAAAAACTTGCACTTTAGAAATATTTCTCCAACAGTTTATACTGGCATTTTCTAAAACCCGGTTAAAATCAATGTAAATGTTAAGATATGCTAAGAAATGATGAATGACTTATTTGAGTGGCTGTAATCAAATGCACTTAGTATCTTTTTTATTACCTTGGCTTTAACGAATTGGACTATTGGACCAAGTTCTGATACTACTTGATTTCCTACATGAATAAAAGGTACTTTACCTGTTGAAGAAAAAAAAAGTGTGAAAACACTTTCAGCATATTAAAGTTTGTGCTAATACACATAGGAAATTAACACAAAACTGAGACATGTTTCAATAATACAGAATACCAGAAAACTATAACTTTTGAAAATTACAGTTGAATGTGTATGTTAAATTCTATACATTTTTAAATACTGATTACTTACTAATTTAAAAAAAAAGACAAAAGAACTATTTGAATTATTCATTTACAGAATTCTCACTTATATATAACAACAGATCACAATAGTTCCTTTTCAGAGCTAACACTAACAAATCACTCTATAGTCGTAAATATTAATTATTCAAATTACATGAACCAAGCCCAGATACTGGTTCATGACCACTGATAGATTTCAAAGCAATTCAACTGGGCCTTCTCTTCAATCCATATTTTAAACTACACTTAAGAAAACTTCTTTTTGTGTCTTCTACTTTCAAGTCTCAGATATTCATTAAGGTCGATATTTTAAGTACATAATGGTGTATTAATAAATGTCTTTGAATCAGAAATATCAGGAATTAAGAGTATTAACAATCCTTGAAAGTATGTTAGTTTATGAATTATAATATAAAGTATGTTTCCAACATATACTGGAAAAAAGAACAAGTAGGATACTTATAAAAACTGGCTTTTCTAAATAAATGTCATGTTAAAAAATTATTTCATTCCTATAAGCACTAATAGTTGATGAAATTATCAGAGATGATGAGAACAAAATAATCTCCAAGTAGCAATAAAGTTTACCCCCAAAACCAGAGAATAAACCTTGCTGTCAGGCCTAGTTCAAATAGAGTTCACATTAACAGCAGGTTTCTTCATGGTCCTTTTCAATAGATTCACTGCTCTCTGGCTCAGTTAGCCTAAGGGTAATGGATGAGGTGCAAAGCACCAACAAAAGCTTCATCTGCATCCATAGGATAACACATTACAAAGGAAAGTCAGGCCTCTTGGAACACAACTCAATAGATGTATTTAGAAGACATATCCATGTTACCAACATAGAAACACTGAATTCAGCATTCTTTTCTTCTACTGTTTTATAAACCTTGCAATAAAAAAAAGTTGACTATCTGGTTAAGCATTAGGGCATATTGTTTTTTAGTACAGGTCCTCTGAGATAAAATAATCTTAGAATAAAAACTATTTATTAATGAATGCCTAGACCAGTGGTTCTCAACCTTCCTAATGCCACGACCCTTTAATACAGTTCCTCATGTTGTGGTGAACCCCAACCATAAAATTATTTTCATTGCTACTTCATAACTGTAATTTTGCTACTGTAAACAATATGTAATTATATATGTGTTTTCCGATGGTCTTAAGTGACCCCTGTCACTTAAGGGGTCGCGACCCACAGGTTGAGAACCCCTGGCCTAGACGGAAGGGTATTTCTGGGGTGTAACATTTTGAGAGCAAAGTGTATTTCTCTTTTTCAATAACCAGTTTGGAGTTCTTGGAAGAAAGAGATTTCATTTTATTTCTTTTCTTAAAAATATTTTGAGCACTACAGTTTCTGAAAAAGGGAAGCAGTGTGGGTAATCAATTAAATACTTATATATCACTAAATATAAAGGTATATATATATAAAAGGCTAATATGCAAAGTATCCCCTTGGGAGTTCGACTGGGAGTTCGATCGCTCACTATGATGTGCGCTGACCACCAGGGGCAGCGCGGAATGAAGGCCCCAGCCAGTGGGCAGCATCCGGGGAAGGAAGGCCCCAGCCGGCAGTGGAAGGCCCCGATCGGCCCTGATCACCGGCCAGGCCTAGGGACCTTACCCATTCACGAATTTCGTGCACCGGGCCTCTAGTCTATATATATAAAAGCCTAAGTGACCAAACAACTGGTTGATTGGTCGCTATGATATGCACTGACCACCAGGAGGCAGACGCTCAACTCAGGAGCTGCCCCCTGGTGGTCAGTGCGCTCCCACAGCCACTCAGTCAGTGCGGTCCTTCACCCTGGCAGGCCAAACCTCCCCCAGGCCGGCCAGCCCCAATTGGCCTTGATCGGGCAGCCGGCCAACCTCCCGTGGCCCCGACTGGCCCCAACCCGGATCACCAGCCAGGCCTAGGGACTCCACCCGTGCACGAATTCGTGCCTCTAGTATATATATAAAAGGCAGTGAACGTTTTTTGTTACTTGCTTGATTTAAAGTGAAGCCAATGTTATATCTTTATTGTATCCTTATTATAAGGCAAAAAGCACAGTGAGACAGTTATTGTCTAGCACCAATCAAAGGTTATAAAAGAAAACTAAAGGCACTTTTACTCACTTTAGGCAGAATAATCATTTTTAGTACTTTTATTTCTAAAGAAAGCAACGAGATGTAGCCAAGCAAGTATGAAGATTTAGAGAATATTAGAAAAAGAAAAAACCTTGGATGTCATCATATCCAGCCATCTCATATTACAGATGTGGTCACCAGAGCTCAAAAAAGAGATGTCAAATTTCCCAAAGAAACTGTTAATATGTGACAAACTCACAGAAGAATTAGACTAAATTTCCTAACACTTAGCCAAGTGCTCTTCTGACTATTCCATGATCCTCTCTGCTTTAAAAATCTTCCACAAATTAGAAAACTGTGGTACATCTACACGATGGAATTCTATGCTGCTGTAAAAAAGAAGGCATTCTTACCATTTGCAACAGCATGGATGAAACTGGAGAGCATTATGCTTAGTGAAATAAGCCAGTCAATGAAAGAAAAATACGACATGATCTCACTCATTTATGGATAATTAAGACCATTATAAACTGATGAGCAAAAATAGATACAAAGGCAGAGCAACATCGAACAGACTGTCAAACTACAGCGGGAAGGCCAGGGAGGGTTGGGGGAGTGGGTAGGAAATCAACCAAAGGACTTGTATGCATGCATATAAGCATAACCAATGAACACAAGACACTGGGGGGTATAGGAGGCCAGGGGAAGGTCAAGGGGAGAAAAAAAAAGGAGACATATATAATACTCTTTGTAATACTTTAAGCAATAAAACAATTTTAAAAAAATCTTCCACAATAACCCTGGCGAGGGGACTCGGTTGGTTGGAACACAGTTTTGTACACCAAAAGATTGTGGATTCCATTCCTGGTCAGGGCACATACCTAGGTTGCGTGTTCAATCCCTAGTCAGGAGGCAACCAATTGATGTTTCTCTCTCTCTCTTTCTCCCTTACCTTCTCTCTAAAATCAAGAAAAACATACCCTTGACTGAGGATTAAAAAAAATTTTCCAGGAGACCAACCGAAGGACTTGTATGCATGCATATAAGCCAAACCAATGGACAGGGACAACAGGGGGATGAGAGTATGAGTGGGGGGGGGGGGGGAGGTTGGGAGTTATTGGGGGGATGAGGACACATTTGTAATACCTTAACCAATAAAGAAATTAAAAAAAAAAATTCCACAAGGTCAAATAAGTAAATAAGATGAAATACATTCCCCTGATCACCCCCTGATGAAAAGACTAATACTAGAGATATGATAAAATGTAAATATCTTAACAGAAAGTGCCATTTCATCTACCTATAGAAGCCCCCTCCTATGAATGAATGTATATCTGTACGTATGTATTATTGTAGTCTCTACAATATTTATCTGTTTGTCTTTCATAGTCTATAAAAATAAGGTAGATATCTATCTAGGTGATACTTAAGTATATAATACAGTCATTTTAGGAAGCAGGTAGGTATGGCTTCTCCTTATTTGCCAAAGATATCAACTTCAGTATTAGATTACTAACCATTTGGTACTAGAGGCCCGGTGCACAAAATTCGTGCACAGGGCGGGGAGGGTCCGTCAGCCCAGCCTGCACCCTCTCCAATCTGGGACCCCTCTGGGGATGTCCAACTGTCTCTCACAATCCGAGACCGCTGGCTCCTAACCGTTCGTCTGCCTGCCTGCCTGATTGCCCCTAACTGCTCCCTTACCAGCCTGACCGCCCCTAGCTGCCCCCCTGCTGGCCTGATAACCCCTAACCGCCTCTGCCTCACCCTGCACCCAGGACCCAGGATTCCCTCCTCCAGCCGGCTACAGGCACCCAGGACCTGTGCCGGCTTCGCCCAGGCCAGCCACAGCCATAGGGGACCGTGGACGGGTGACCTCGCCCAGGCCGCAACTGCAGATGCCCGAGACCACGGGGCGGGCAGCTTGTCCCTCTCCCATGCTGCAGCCACAGGCATTGGTGCCTGGGATCGAGGGGCAGGTGGCTCGTCCCTCTTCCAGGCTGCAGGCACAGGCACAGCTGCTGGCACCCAACCACAGGGCGGGCGGCTTGTCCCTCTCCTGGGCCGCAGGCGCAGCCACTGGCGCCCGGAACCGCGGGGTGGGCGGCTTGTCCCTCTCCCAGGCCAGGCTGCAGCCTGGCTGGTCCCCATTTCTCTCTCCCCAGTGTTGAGTGTCTGAGCCTTTAGGGCATGATGGCATGAGAGTGTGACGACCATTTGCATATTAGCTCTTTATTATATAGTATGTGTACTTACATTCTTTGTATGGCTACCTAGAGAAAAAGGATAGATAGAACCCAATATAATTCATTTCTCCAGAATTCAGTAAAATTAACAAAAAAAAAATGAGTCAGCTAATGGCCTTCAAGAATATAAAATATGTCTATGTTTACAAGTCTGGAAATTATTTTATGGAAATGTTTTAAAATATATATTCATAAACCTATAAACACAAGGTGGGGCAAAAGTAGGTTTCAAGTTGTGAATATGCAAAACAGTTTATATCATATATTTTTTGAAATATATTAAAATTTAATCACTCATAAAAGCTGTAATTATTCTTGTATTATTATTATTATATTATTTTCCACATGAATATCTGTAAAGCTACTTTTGCCACACCCTCTATAGAGTATTCATATAGAATTTTAGAATTTTCAATGTGTATGGAGAGAGCATCTTCACAGCTTTTGACAATTATTACTACCCTCAAGAACATAAGATGGAAAAAAATGTTTAACACAAGTTATCATTACAATGAAGAGACAGGTAAATGTTTCCCTAAAAAAAAATGTAATACACTTATGCCCATCAGTTATATTCAACAAGATTTATTCATAAAAGAATGACTCTATGTTATTATTGCTCCAGAAAAAGCATAGTTATAATACTCCATATCAATTTTACTTAACATTTATCAGCATTATATTTTATATTAAAAATATCTGAATCATCCTTATTTATTTTTTATAAATGTATTTCTTTATTGATTTCAGAGAGGAAGGGAGAGGGAAGAGAGAGAAACATCAATGATGAGAGAGAATCATTGATCGGCTGTTTCCTGCATGACCCCTACTGGGGATCGAGCCCGCAACCCAGGCATGTGCCCTTGGCCGGAATCCAACCTGGGACCCTTCAGTCTGCAGGCTGATGCTCTATCCACTGAGCCAAGCCAGCTAGGGCATGAAGCATTCTTATTTAAAACTGTACTAATACATGACACATAAAAAAGCAATACTGATTATGAAAAATAGCAGAAAGGCTAAAATCTTAATAGAAAGTATCTTAAAACTTGTTAAAACAAAAGGAACTAAAAACCAAAAACATTCAGAAATGACATTAAGACTTGTGACAAGTTAATTTAATTATTTCACAATTTCTCTTCTTCCATATTTATAATGGGACAATATAATTTAGAGAAGTCTGTTTAATAATAAATGGGTCCATCAATATTAAAATTTGTTTTGTGAAGAGGAAAACAGTCCTGTGTAAAAAAGACTGGCAAAATCTAAGATTTCCTATTTTCTTAAAATCTACTATTTAAAAGAATTCCTTAACTTTCCAGTAAATATTTCTGACCACAGAGCTGAAATGCATAGAGAGGCCCACCACAGTACTGTCAAGTTTGCAATTTTACTTTATAAAACCATAGGGAAATTCTTCAAAAAGTAAACAAAAAATATACGCATTTTAAAAATCTAGGTACAGCCCTAACTGGTTTGGCTCAGTGGATAGAGCGTCGGCCTGCGGACTGAAGGGTCCCAGGTTCAATTCTGGTCAAGGGCATGTACCTTGGTTGCGGGCAAATCCCAGTAGGGGGTGTACAGAAGGCAGCTGATGGATGTTTCTCTCTCATCGATGTTTCTAACTCTCTATCTCTCTCCCTTCCACTCTGTAAAAAAAAAATCTAGGTACAAATTGGACTAGCACCAAGTTTGTCAATGTATAATAACAGTAGAGAAGAAGACACTTACCAGATGGAGACATATATTCTGCATTTGCCCTACAAACTACTTTGATAGGCAGATTACACATTTGCAAAAAGGCCTGTAAATCAAGAGAAATACAGTAAGCCTAGGGAAAGTATATGCATATTTGAACACAATTTTTTAAAAACTTCTTTTCTAAACTTAAGTAATCACTTAGATAATAGTAACACTTTATTGGAAAAGAATATATCTATTGAAAGTGAAAGATTTGTATTCCAAACAAAAATAAAATATTTCCCTACTAAAAACCCAGTATGATGTAAACACCAGTGAGTGTATGAAGTTTAAAGCGTTTATACATTTAAGACTGGAAATGTAAATTATCACATTTATTTTACTGTATTCATTTACATAAGTCAACAGTACTGTACACTGTTTTAATTTTCTTTAATAGATGGCAAAAGTCCAATTTTTATAAGGTATTATTACTTAATTTCACTATTCTTTCTTGTCTTAGGAAAAAGCTCTCAAAATGTTATTTCTGCTATTTTAAAGTTCTCTCCAATAATACTAAATATCCTAACATGTAGTTTTTATGCTCACTAATCACTTACTAAATATATAGTTTATTTTTACTTTGTTTAAAGTAACAAAAATTTTAAATATTTAACAATAGGAAATGGGTAAATCATTTATGATAAATCCAAACCATGAAATATTATACAACGTTAAAAATCACACTTTTAAATAAAGAATATTTTATGACAGGAAAAATATCCATATTATAATACTAAGTGAAAAAATATAAAATTGTATTGACAATATATACTAATTCATTTTTAAGTGTTTTTAAGACATCAGTAAACTCTCTGCCAACCTATATGCCTTCCGACAGATTCTCTCCACTGTTTTTTTGTAATACTCAAAGGTTACTCCCCTTGTTCTCTTTTCTATAACATCCAGGTTTCTTTTTCTCCACTCACTATATTTACCTATCTTCTTTCTATAAAATTGTTCAATTGGGGTAGTCATCCTATATAATAAAAGGCTAATATGCAAATTGTCCCCTCTACCAGGAGTTCGACCAGGGGGTGGGGCCGGCCCGCCAACTGCCTGCAGCCCCTCCCCCCAGTCAGCCACAGCCCCTCCCCCTAACTGCCCCATCGGTCCCCCCACCCCGATTAGCGGAGGGGCAAGCCAGCCAGCCTCCCGTATCCTCTCGGCCCCCACTTTCTATTCCCCACCCCCCAGCCCTGATCGGGCAGGGCAGCCAGACCCCACCGTGCACAAATTGCACCAGGCCTCTAGTATATCACAATGGTTTTAATTACCACATACAAATTAGAAAACAAAGTTTTTATCTATTTCAAAACTGAGGAAACTGCTATAAATAACAGTCAAATGTCAGTTGAGAGAAATTAATAAATAACAAGGCTAATACTTATCATATATTAAGACTATTAATAGACCAGCCTATCCTAGCCAATAAAGATTTCTCATAGGGCTGCCTATTGCAATTCCTTCCTCAGTTTTATGTTGGAAATCAGTCTTAAGATTCTTTCAAAGTAGTAAGAGTGTTCAACAGTGATTATTATCTTATACGAAGAGCTCTATTTACCTAAAAATATGTCAATTCTCTTCTTTAAGTCTGTCTTCACAAAACTCCAGTCTTCTAGAAATGCTCCTCTCTAAAAATAAACCACACATGACTCTGATCCCTCTCTACTTATACCCTCTGATTCCTTCATTGCTCTAAAATTTATGGCTACATGTCTGATGTCAAGTAAATGTAATATCTTAGAGAAGCAAAGAATAGATTTGAATTTTTGTAATTCTGTCACCCCTCCAACCTCCCTCATTTTCCTACAGCTACCGTAAGATAGTGCACTACTTATACTAAGCATTCAATACTTAGTGACTGAGCCAACCAAAGCTCTCAGAGTTTATTGTGGCAGAGGTGCAATTATCTCCCTATATATGTTCCCCCACTTTCTCTACAGTGGTAGAACCCATGAGTTATATCTTCACACGTGACTGCCTGAAATAAGAACTTTATTTCCCAGGCTCTCTCGTAACAGGGTGTAACTCATGTGGAAAGATTATTAAAACACAGTTTGCTAGGAAGAGAATTAGAGAGGATAAATTTAAACAGCGCTTTCAAGAAGACTAGTGAGAAGAAGGAAGGAGGGATTAAAAAGGTCAACTCCCTTCCATTATATAGGCAACTGCACTGATGACGAAGAAAGGCTGAGCTCATTAAAACATAAATAGAAAAAAAAGTGAAAATAGGCTGAAATGACAAGAAACAGTAGAAAAACTGACATGCAAAATCCATGCGAAGGTAAAAAGGAATGGAATAAAAGCACAGGTGGAGAGAATTTTTGTCAAAAAACAGGACACTTTTTCCACTGTAATATAAGGGGTGGTCGGAAACAGTGATGAAGACTGCAGTATAATAAGAAAATTAGAGCGCGCTCACATTCCGTGATTAACAGGAGAAATCATGTGCTAAGAATGAGGAACTAAGAGAGGACTGAGGCCCTCAAAAGAAGAAAGGAATCTGAAAAAACTGCTTATATCTTCTCAGAGGTCTAAATAATATTCAGTTGTTAGTTAACAGTCATATAAAAAATAGTAAATATGGTATACTGCACTTTGCTATACCACATGCGTAGTGGCAACTGTACTAATCAATGTTCCAAAAGCTGTATTTCACAAAAGCGATTAAGCAAAATTTTAATGTTCTGTAATCAAAGCCATACTTCTAGTCCTGTTAATTTTTTACCCCTTTACTATAAATACAAACTTAATTTTGTCCAATTTAACATCAATTTTGTCCAATTGATGGAATAACTCTGCTTAGCCAAAGATTAGTTTTACAATATTTACTATAATTACTCTTCATGCCTGATTCAAAATACGTTTTCTGAATTAATCGGTACTTCACAAAGAAGTCTGATGTCACAAACACAGTATTTTCATCCAAACTTTCAAAATACAAAATAAAACAATACTATGATTGTGTTCAAGAATATAACAATTCTAAAACCAAATCAGGCTTTGATTCAAACAGTATTACCCTTTCTCTTGTAGGATGGAAGAAAATCCCAAAAACATTCCAAAATAGTATTTTCATCTTTCATTTTCATTTTCAATCCCCTATCGGCACTCCATTTACTCCAAATAAAACAGGCATGAAACAACAACCTAATACACATTTTACTTTCAATCTGAAATCGAAATCTGCATGTTTTTATTCTTAGCTAAATCCAAAGGAAAATGTAGTTCTAATTATAGTAAGAAAACTTAGGATAACTCACCTAAGTCCTATTCCTCAGTTGGATATTTTATTCCAAACTAATTCAAATGATTGACAATATAAAGTTTTTGAGTCAAAAACTTACATTCTATCAGAATAATGATGTATAAACTGTGCTGTCCAATATGGTAGCCACTAGTCATCTGTGGTTATTTAACTTAAATTTAAATGAATTAAAGTTGAATAAAATTTTAAATTCAGTTCTCCAGATATACCAGCCACATTTCAAGTGTTCAAAAGTCACATGTGGTTACTGGATATTATATTTATGGAACAGCACAGAAAACACACACACACACAAAACCCACCAGAACATTTACATCATTGCAGAAAGTTCTATTGCACCCAGTGGGTCTGTAACAATGGTAATCAGTGCATTAAAGACATCTTAGCAAGAAAGGACATGAATAGCAAATAACTCCGCTCTCTTTTCAAAGACCTGGAGATGCTAAGGTACAATTACATTCTTTGAAACCAGACAAGCATGTTCTACTGAAACACTGAGAAGCCCAATCTTGAAGGCCACCCCATCTCTTTTACGGACACAGGTGACAGAAGTATGTACAGATCAATATCATCTTTGTCAACACTTTCCTGGAGGTCTGTAATCAAGGTGTTAAGAAACTAATATTATACAGAATAAAAATACAATCAAGGATAGTTTTATCTTTGGTGATTTCTATCCCCTGCATCTACAGCCCACACCAAGTGAAAAGTCAATTTAACCGCCTGGTTAAAATAAGCAGCTTTAAGAAGCTAAGAAAGCCATCCAATCAGAGCAGTATTATCTTTCTGAAATTTTGCTGAGACATGAGTGACTTGAAAAAGCCACTGCCAGCAGGAGTCCTTTAAAATCTCAGCAACTATGGCTCAACCTTCAGGAGATTAAAAATAAGTATGCAGGTCTCTTATAATTAATACAAGTAGGAAAGTAGAATAACATTAATGAGAAAATCAAACAAAACAATACATCTCAAGTATTATGCATATCTAGTTTCTTCAAGTCTTTATTCATGGAGAAACATACTAATAATATTCCAGAAGGAAATGTAGGGAGGAAATCAGTGAAATTAAATTCAAAGCCAAAAAGTCATTCAGTTCTTTTACAAAAAACAATAAATATGATAGTTCCTGACAGAAACAAGGAAATAGAATCCACAATATTAAAAACGTTAAAATATCAAATATTCTTTGATTTAATTGCATTATGGCTTTTCAAAAAGATAACTAAAAACAGTTCAGAAAATGGTGAAAAGGGCTCAACCCCAGTTGAATGGAAACACAGCCAGCCAACAACAGGCCTGCCCTGGTGGCTACATTTACATAGGGAAGATGTTGCCTCATTAAGATGCTATCCTTACCATCATTTAGAGCAATTGACTTTCTGTTGCTGACTCATAAGCCATACCACTATTATGACTGGGTGAACCATTAGCACATCCCCACTCCTTAATTGTCACTGGGTAAGTGCCCTAGCAGAACTTAATGGATCCTAACAGAAGACAGATTTAAGAAGCAAGTTGTTTAAATGGAAGACTACAATATCTTTGAAAAATGAAAAGTCTCTGCATCAGTTTTAAGAGTCAGTATAGAACAAAAAGGAGTTAATAGAGCAGAGCCTCCCAGTGAGACATCTCTCAGTGGAGTCTCAGTGACTGACTGCTTTAGTTGAGAAAGTTCCTTTATCTCATAAGCATTCTGATTTCTAAAATGAAAACAATATATTAAGCAGGGTAACTGAGGTACTGTGTGTAAAATACCACTTAAAATCAAAATAGCAAAATTGTACACTAAGCTAA